CGAAATCTTACCTCATTTGGATCTGCAATGAAATCTTCAGTCTGCCAGAAGTGACGAGTATCCCAATGACATAAAGCTCGGCAATACGACTAATGCTAACTGTGTCGCATTCAGTGATTACGAATAGTGTCATGCCATGTTGTGCAAGTTTCTAGAGATGCTCCATAATCGGGCAGCTCCGACTAGAAGAATACAAGGCAGCTAGCAAAGCAAGGAGACAATTAGCCTTAATTACTAGTAATTCAAAAAATGTCGATTTGTGACACTTACCAATGAATTCGAGTGAAGAGCTATTACCATAAATATCAACGATAACCCACAAGGGTGATGAAACATTGATTCCATTCAGAAACTGGCCTTTCAAAACACCATTTATGCCGTAATAAAGTTCGCCTTCGGCATTCACATAAAAATGCAAAACTGATCCGGCAACAGAATAACGCTCAGGCAACGCTTTCGCCCAATAGCCTTCCTTACTTGTCAAATCCGGACACGCAAACCTAAACCAGTTGATAAATCACATCTTCCGAACTATCAGAAAATTACAGAGAATACGCACATTAAAGATAATTGCTCACTTCGGTAGCTCGATACCACGGTAAGTTTCAGGATCGACAGCTGTAACGCCAAAGCGCAATACACCCGACCAATTGGAAACTACTTCGGCAAAACGGATACATACGTTTTCGTCGATCTGTATAGGCCTGAAAAATCGTTTAGAACTGCCTAAAGATTATCGATAACCAAAATAAACTGCCTATTCAAAAGATGCTTTTTGCAAGTTACGATTGTGCACCTGATTTGTCCATGACTATGCATCTGATTTGCCAAACAAGACCTAAAATATTCACAACAAGTGTATATTTGAAAAACAAATTGCTGTGCTCATTCCATTGGCCCGTAATGTAATTTTTGTAATAATTTACGAAAAATGCATTAAAAGCTTCAACAAGTCTTGAAGAAATAATCAAGCGCTCCGGCAGCACTGCGATCAATGGAAAGCACCAGAGAGACGCAGTTGCGTCAAACGATCCTCTAAAAAAATTTTGAACGATCATGCGGTTCTTCGGAACTAGCCGAATCCTGACTGCAAAAGCTGCCAGAACGCTTGAAAACATACAATTGTGGACATTCTTTCTTCTAAACATGAAACTGAGTCCCATTTTTATTTGTTTATTCAAGCAGCAGTTCATGCTCACGCTGCACGAGACGCAGCCACCTGTGCTACAGTGCTCACATATCTTGTAATTCAGCACTTTTTCCAACAGTTGTCTCGACCTTATCTATTATTATTCGTCCGAGGATCTCCCCAAGTTCCCTTCTGATAATACCCCTCTTTTACCGCCAAACAGCGACACTCAATTGAAGGGTTCTGCGCCGACCTGTTTTTATGTGTTTTTTGCATCTATGCAATGCAGAAAACGTATATTGACGAGAGGTTGTCTGTGTGTGTCTGTGTGTACGCTGCGCGTCTGTACCGATTTTTCATCTCGAGACCCACAAAAACTACAGGGCTGAAACTTTGGGACCTTAATCTGTATGAGTGTACGGGCCACCAGCTTCGAAATGGACGCTGTTACCCGTGTGGCACCCATGTACAGGCCCGCCAAGGTTATTCTCGGGTAAGTTGCTAACTCGGGGAACTGTTAAGCTAAAAGGCTGGAATTTTAAGACGATGTTCCCCGCCTAAGTAGGTATTAATGAGTTCAAAGACAGCCCTTAGATGTGTGTGTTACCCACACACGGGCCCGCCAAATCTTTTTCGGATAAGTTGATAACTCGACAACTTGAAAAGCTAGAAGACTGGAATTTTAAGGAGATGTTCCCTGCCTACGTAAGTCTCAGTGAACTCAAACCCAGACACCAGATATGCGTGGTACTCATGTACGGGCCTGCCAAAGTCTTTTTTCGGGTAAGTTGCTAACTCAGAAATCTGAGAAGCTAGAAGGCTGTAATTTTAAAGGGATGGTCCCCGTCAACGTAGGTCCCAATGAGTTCAGAGTCAATCACCGGGTATGCATGGTTCCCATATGCGGGCTCGTGAAAGTTTTTTGCGAGTAAACTGCTAACTCGGGAATCAGAAAAGCTAGAAAGCTAAAATTTTAAACGGATGCTTCCTGACAGTCCTGGCTGCCAGCCTCAATTCTTTTAACCAGAAGCGTTTGCTGAAAAACCGTGTCGTTAGCGACAGGAACTGTGGGGAACTATGCAAAAAACGCATCTTCGCACCGGCAGTCGGTGCGTTGGCCAATTATTTGTCATAAATTTGTACATCCAGCTGTGATGCCCAGAAGGTTGCAGACCGTTTGAAAAGGCTGATGCCAGTGAATCCACGCTTCCTTTCCACCAGGTAAGAATGAGGGTCGTCAGGGAGCGCATAACGACGCCTATAACAAAGCTTCGATGCCTAAAAATGTAAGGTTGGCAAGAGAGGGCAGAATGCAGTGCCACTATTTTTGGTGCTTTTCGCCAACAACAAAAACAAAACAGTGAGAGTGGAAACGTTACCGGCTGCTGAAGGCAAGTCCTTTGCAAAATGATTCCTTCCGTTTGGCGACTCGGCCACCTCGTAAAATTTGTATATTCGAGCCATGCACCTGATGAAATGTCAGCTGTGGCAGAGGCCACTCTGAGGTGCCCTGATTCACCACCGTGTTCTCGTCATAAATCGCTATTTGCAACCCGTCTTCAGGAACCGATTCTGGAAAGGACAAAGTACTGTTTACCCAGACAGGAAAGCCCACTTGAAAATAGATTTAAGTGTGTACGCAAGGAAATTGTAGACAGAGAAGAACGACCTACCCAAAGAACTCCCTGCAATCTCAGCATTTACACAATGTTGTTACACTCGTTTTCAGTTTTTATGGTAATTAGAAAAATGAAGTATCTACAGAAGAGATGAAGACTGTCTCCACTACTGTGCTAAATTCTGACCCACTATCGTCGCAATTTCTTCATGCTCACACCACAGAAACAAGTGCGCACGCGCGAACTTGTACAGTGAGGAAACTGTGCAAAAAAGAACTCGAAAATGAGCAATTTAGTGAGTGCGCAGTGCGATGTGCCCTTACGCGCAGCTACCAGGGCCGACGAATTAGCGGTGAGATGCTTCGATGTTACTCTAGCGCAGCAGCAGTAGTTATATGCCAGACGCAATCACGCCAGTTTAGTGTCGCATGATCCAGAGCTTTAAGCGATCGGATTTTGAAAATCCACTGTTCACAATTTGAAAAAAAGAATGAATATGAGTCACCCACAAGTCAACAGGCCAATTAGATTTCTGATGACCGGAAATGTTAAAAAACAGCAAAAACCGAAAAAGGCGAAAAGGAAAGAACATACCAAAAGAATAGCAGCCAAAAAATTTCATGCAGGCGTATTTCAGAACTAGAGGAGCTCCAAGCAGAGAAACGCCACGTGGCAAAGTCCGATCAGTTAATTAAACGGCAAACAACAAAAAAACTGCGTATATTCGCAGTCAATTCGAGACCTCTGATCCATGGTCACTTGAGATGCAGAGGTCAAGCTTGCCAGGAGCAGACTGAGGATGCAAATTCAACAGTGCAGAGCCAGGGGCTGTCTCTATCGCAGCACGAAAAGTTGCGCTCACTTTCAACGATCTCTCTTACCCCCTGCGTACAAGACGCGGAATTTGGAAGGAAACGCGGGGAAGTCCCCTCAGTTTTCAAATCAGACTGCAGCAGGACAGTGTAAACGAGGACAACAACCTGTGAGAAGCAAGGATCAGAGACGAGGACATCGGGGTGTGGCCTGCCCACTCCTGCAACGAGCAGCAGGTAGCTCCCTCCGCAGCATACAAATGCACTTCCAGCATCGCGCACCTCATACCGTGCGGAGTGGTAGACCGCTTTGTCCGTATTTATTATAGGATGACTGTTCCAAGCCACTTCCCGGTTTTTTAGATTGTCGGCTGGTTCCTCTTTGTAAAAGCGAACTTTCCTCGTAGAAACCAGGAGTAGCGTGCCGCATGCAAGCCCCTTCTCAAACCAGTTCCCCTGCTCCAAGCCCTCCCATAGAGCTGTTCCGATCCATCCACAACAGGCCTTCAGAGCCGCATCCGGTGCTGTCTGCAGCTCACGATGCACTGGAACACTTCGTAAATTTCAAAGTGCTGTTCTGTAACTGGCTTGTCCCGGTCCAGGCTACGATACGGCTCCGCGGGTGGGTATTTCTCAAAAAATTTCATAACACTTCAATGCTTCTGTGCGTCTCTGCGCAGTTTATAGAAAAATGCATAAAGATAATTTCGTGGAAAAAAGCATAACTGTGAACAGCGTCTGGAGTCATCCATCAAGAAAAAATTAGCAAATTCGGCCTGAAGTGAAAAGAAAA